GGCATGCACCCTGCAGCTGCAGCACAGATAACCATTACTTGCAGGAGCTATAGAGAATACGTTCGCATTTTTTACTGCCTCAGGCTCAGAGCTGTCTGTTCAAGGCAGCATTCACACAGTGCTGTTTAATTCCCTGCAAGCCACAGCCCCATTATGTCAGCTTTCCAAGAAGAATCAGAGGAAGAGGAGGGCAGCCATTTCCACAGACATGGAGATAACATCTTGAAGAATGCCTGCCTAATGTACCAGTTATCAAGCCATAATCCCACACGCTTCATCCAACTGTATGGCAGAATCATTCTGCTGTGCTACGCAGGTGTGACTGAGCTGAACAGGAACAAAGTATCTGCCCAGGCTGACCTGGTTAGCCTGGCAGGGAACAGGCTGTCTGCCATCAGGTTCACACTGCTCTCGAAGGATTAGTCTCACCTGGTTGTCATCAGACCAGAAGCATGTGGGTTGAGTGCAAATGGCTATACAGGAGCTGGCTGCAAGACAATGCTGGGTCTGAGGGGAATTTCACTGCCTATTTCAAAAATACTCTCCTTGAGTTTGAAGTTCCTTTTCCCCTGCAGAACAAAGAGGTGGCAGAAAGCACGATGGGCCGGAATGTTCTCTTCAAACACGACAGTTGTCTGGCATCCTAGCTGGCACCTTGGAGATCAAAATGCAGCACATAGCTCAGAAAAACGGGCTTCAGGCAACTTGTCATGGATCTAATTAGAATACGTGCAAATTACGGCATGCATGCGTGGAACACCACGCGCAGCAAAGCAGAGAGGAAACAAAATTTTGGGTACAGAATTGCCAGACCACCAAGGAGGAACTGTTCCATGTGGGAGGAACTGAATACCAACTGGGTGCAATGAGTACGGTGTGCACAGGCAGCAGGAAAGCTGCTTTTGCCACTACGGTGAAGACAAAAGTTCACCTTCCCTAAGCACTAACTAGTGGCATAGGATGGGCATGAAACTCATCGCCCAAAAATCCTGATGCAACGTTATGTTTTGTAGGTAGCACACAGAAGCATCAATGGCTGCAAGTGATCCCTGTCACTACAGTGCAGTACACTGTTCCTCAAACAGAATAACAGTTTGGCCTTGTTTTTGTTTTTGGACTCAGTTCACAAAAAAAATAACGTCAACGTCCTAGAGAACTTCAAGTAAAAACAAAATCTTTGCATTATAAAAAAATCCAAACAATTTCAACAAAAGGTCATACAACAAAATGAATGCTGCCTAAGGCCTAAGGGAACCAGAGCCAATTCAGCAAACTTGAAAACACAAAGACCCAGAAACAGACCCATGGCAGCTCACTGTCCTTGGGTCAGACACAGCATCTCACACTCTGATGCTTTAGACGACAAAGAATAAATTAACAAGTCAATACTATTCATTTAATAGCATAGCTTCAAAGTTATTCTATTAAGGTTCTTTTGGAGGGTAGCACACGTTAAAATAGTTTCTGATGATCTTTGAAAGTTTTCTGTATATCAAAGGTGTCATTTTACTTCAAAATGAGTACTCTGGATAGAGAGCTTAAGCTCCCTCATTTGATCAATGCTCTTTGCTCCAGACAAGAGAACTTTCAGATTCTTCTCATGTCAATCTGCGCTGGTTGCTGATATGCATGGAAGTTGTTCCTCTACACTGTTCATAACATGAAACAGAACTTCTCTTTTATACTAGACCTGTGGTTTTTGGTTTTTTGTTTTTTTTTCTTTGTGCTATTTTAAGATAATCCTTTATAACGTAATCAAAAGTATTGCTTTTCGTCTCCTTGACAGGTTGATGCAGAAGGAACAGCAGAGGATGTTTTTCTGGAAGTCTGCAAGTCAATTGACTCTTTTCTGAACAAGGAAGAAGCAGCATTTTCAACAGAAACACAGTAGTGGTGTGTACACTGCGTGTGCACGTGGCAGCCATGAATAAAATGCTCCTCAAAGCAATACTGCTTTTTTGGGAGATATCTGGAATTTGTGCATGTGGTATGTTATTTTGGATGAAATCTTCTCCTCCGTTCAGACAACACACTTAATAGGAAGCAGCCTGTATGCTAACTTGCACTAAGAACCGTACATTTCATTGGTTGTTTGCTCTTCATGGGCTAAAAGCAGCATGGTGAACAGAGCTCTGGTTTGTATTTCATCATCTTGTATATTTGATGGGAAGTCAGACACGTCGCCTGATCAGCAGTGAGCTCTTCAACCACTTACTCACTGTATTGTAGAGCAAGAATGCTGCATACAATTTTCTCATTGGTTATTACTTTGATTAACACTATTAAATTTTTGTGGTATCACTTAGCTTGTTCTTGGTTTCTAGTGACTGAATCTGTTCTCTGTTCCATCCCGCTGTAAGACAGCTGGAATTAGTCAAGCTAGATGTTTAAACACAGTTTCCAGCCATCCCCAGAATGTTGTTATAACAGGAGTAAGGAAAAAAAATAATGAAGATATGACTGAATATGGTGTCAGTCTGCTGACCCACTGCCACAGAGCAGACACCACGTTTGAGACAGCCCCATCTTCTGTGAGAAACTGTGGGGTGCTAAGAATCATGGCTTCCTAATTTGGTAGACTGAGTTGAAAACTGGTTGCATAGCATCATTAAATGTGCAATTTGGTAAATATTCACAATAACAGAGTTTTAATATATTGAAGTCTACACAGAAAGTTGACCACGAACCAGTGTATGAAGACGCTCTTAATCTACGAAAAGATGACAAATGCAAAATTCAGATCATCATCTGTTGTCCTGTATTGACATTGCCAAAACTTTGAAAATGACAGAGGAAAAAAAAAAAAAAAAAAAGGATCAGGGATTATTTGATTCATCTTGCTTGCTTTTTTAGTAGGCTACATCCATAATATGTGCAAAAAAAAAAATCTGTAAATATTCTATTGTATTTCCATTAAGTTGACTGAAATACTGTAGCATTTCTTTGGTTTACTGATAACTAAATAAAAGCTTGTTTGACATTCCTGTCAAGTTGCACCCTTTACTGGAACCGCTGGACACGTTCAGTTGAAGCGGGTTGCATGACTGCTCTCTGTCAAAGTTGTACTTGATGCGGCAGATTTGTATTTTTAAAGTTACTTTTCTTGTAATGAGGACATAATACAAATAAAACATACAAAAATGAGAAGTGATCATTTGTTATAATTTATGTGGGTTTAATCCTTTTTAAAGCACAGTACATAACTTGAAAATATAGCTCAAATTAGCATGCTTACAAAGTAGGTCCTTTTTTCACTCAGGGCAGGTTCTTCTGTTTTCTTTCTCTTCCTTGCATTTGCCCTGTAAATGCTAATTCAGTTATTTTTCAAAGGAGTGTACTAGGTATGTTCTTATCCTTCACATCCAGGATGTTCCTCCATCCCTGGGTCCTTTTATAGACTACATTTTACCTCTGATGCTCTAGGAAATGCTTTTCCAGCTCCAGAACAGTGGCATTACGTGACCAGTAACATCTGCAGTACAACAGCTTTAAGCAAGTGACTTTCATAATTTACCAGTTGGAAAAAGGCAGGTTTTTCTACAACGAGCCTCAAAGCACCAGCAGCTGTATTGTGCAGTACTTAAGAAAAATAAGATTAAAAAAAATCTGCAGCCACCCTGAAGCTGCCAATTCATCAGGGTAGCTTTTTAGAGTAATTTTTTTGTTACTTGTAACGACAACACAGCTTGAAACGTGTGGAGTATCATTATTGCCAGGATAAGAATAAAAGCAAGAATCAGCTGCTAATTAAAAACGAATTAAAAAGGAACATTATTTAACATACAGTTCCAGTTTACTTCTTTCTGCTTTTTCTGGTCTTTTTTTCAAAAAAAAACCAACCAAAGAATCCCATGCTCAATCGGGCACATGTGCATTAGAAATCTACTTGCATTTGTCCATAATGTATGCAAGAGAAATAGCTGTATATGCATGCATATGGAAATATCAATATTTATACACATTCAATTAGAAAAGGACTTATCCAAGATGCTTCTTTGCTAAGCGATTCAGATTTCAAATTCTCCTTCTGCTTCCAATCTCATTCAAAACACAATACGGATTTTCTTCTTCCAAAGCTATCTCAATCAATGCCTGGATATTTGCATTTAATCACATGCTCGCTAATTTCTGCTACTTCCTTCCAATTATTTTTTCAGGATATCAACAGAAAAACAGATTGCTGCAGATTCTCTCCCTCATAATACATCTCCACCTTACGAACAGCATAAATGGTCTCTCACATCCCCTCATTGCACGAGAGATTTTCAGGGCTTCTTTTGAATTAGAGAGGAAACTGAAATACATCTCGTGAATGTTTCTGTTGTATTTCTAAGGTTTATTAAATTTATCTAAGTATACAAGATATGTGAGATGTTTACACAGGATGCTTGCTCAGTGTTTTAGTAACCGTACTCTATTACCTTCTAAATGGATTAGATGCTTAAACTTACTTTTCTCTGAGGCAGAAAATGACTACACCCACATGTCACTGCGAAAGCTAACACTGATCAGGCTATAATTAAAGTTCTTAGGTGCAGCCAGCCAATTACCCTTCTTATTGCCATTTTAAAGTCAAATTACTTGGAATATTCAAGTTTTAAAGCAACTGGAAGTCTACTACAGTTATAAAATAATCAAGTATTTCTGAATCACCAGCTATACATTTCAATAAAAAATATATTAACTAAAGATATGTCACAGTAATTACAAAGCTTCTCAGATGATGGCATACAGTGTACCAAAGCTACGTAAGTCTGATCTGCTGAAATCTGAAAGAACCAAGTACGAATAAGACAGGAGAAAACTAAAATGCTAATCCTGCAAAAGGCAAAGCACAGTTCAGTGGGTGCAGAACACCACCGGTTCCCACTGAACTCACAGCAGAGGAAGGTGCTGTCATCTTGCAGGTCTGCATAGTGAGTATTTGTCCTTTTCATGTTCTCGATTCTGATTAAAAAGTCAAAACTACACAGAAAGGAAGTCACAGCAAGCATTCTATATATAAACAGACTGTATCCACATAGTTTATTTCTCACAGTTCTCCTGACAATTGAACATTATTTAAGAACATACTGTATACACAGATAAGAAGAAACATACAAAATGTTTTAAATGATGCACAACAAAATCCAGCAGTATAAAAGAATGCATGTGAACCCTTGCTCACTGCTCAGGCTAAATTTAATCACTGTTTAAATAGTAATAAAAATACAATCTTTCATGGATCTTGTGCAGACTACAAAAGAGGAAAAATTATTACCATATATATGATTTATATTAGGCAGTTTTCTTTGATGAGTTGCACTAACAACTCCAAATACAGAGGCAGAAGGCTGTGTATTTTATTTTAAAGGAGTTAATGTTGAGTATTAGAGACTTTACACAGTTACTACCACTGGCACTTTTCACCATATTTTGTACACATCACATGATCATCTTATATAACATTACATTTAAAAAATATATCTGAGTGATAATTTTATAACATTCACACACCATGAGCTGGTTAAGGAAGCATTGCCACAGTTGCCTCCCCTAGTGCTTCACTGTTGGTAAATAGAGTTCATCGTGGTTTAAAAATAAAAATAAAAAAAAATTGAAAGTCAATGTGATTAAGCAGCTCCCATTTAATAAAGGCCTGTAACCAACCATCGCTGAGACAGTGAGCATTTTTTAGAGTACATCCTAGAAGCAAACACTGTCATTGGTTAAAACCTTGCCTAAAGAAGTCAGTTACTGTGCTGAAAACTATTTCACAACAAAACTGCAAGCTACTAAACTGTTTTTTATATAAATACTTCATCTCCTCTGGATCTCATTATAACCGAGTTCTTCAATGCCTTTGGAATTTACTCTATCTTCAATGTGTGCTCTCATTTCTGGCTCACCCTTTTGTATGTTTTTCTTTTGTGTTTAGATTCACCACCTAAAAATGACTAATGTGGTGAAAGAAAAGTCTCCCAGTGAAACCTTCTGCACACTAGGAATGTTCAGCTGCTGTTCAGTCATCTAGGACCATGACAGCTCAAAGCTGTAGTTTGACAAGTACACCCAGGAAGCTGTCATGCCGTGAGCGACATTTCAGGGAAAGCAGACAGTCTTTCCAAAATGTGCACAGTATTAACAATGGTGCCATTGTTATTTTTCAAATAGTATAGTAAGCCCAAGATCGTAGATCTGCTTCCCTTCCCATGTCATCTATTTGCTGGAAAGTAGTTTGGGTCAAGATAATTGTAACTGGTGCCCTGGGACATGCAGTAGTCTCTGTCTAAAAACGTCTCTGCTCTGTAAATAGGTTCTAACTGATGATCCTCCTTATGAATCTCTGTTTCATGCAGACTGCAAGGGAAAGAAAAAGATAACAGTTTAAAAGTTAAATACTTCCTTATTTTTAAGTTTCAGAAATACTGATCACATTTACAGGGTCATACCAAATTTGACACTGAAAAATTATTTCACAAATTACAATTTCCCCCACTACTTAACAGTACTAAACTGAATCTGTCCACTGCATTGTTATTTAAATATTTCTTAAGCACGTCCTAGATGCATACCTCCCACAAATATATGCTAAAGAATCTTTCACTTCACTCAACTATGCTTGAGTAGATACCCAACAGGCACTGCAATTAAGCCACACATATACTCATGTTAATTAGAAAAAACAAGTAGAGAAGAACCCTACTCACCAGTCGGAACAAGAGTCACAGAAATCCAAGGACATTTCTTGAGGACAGTCTTGGCAGTGCCACCGAACACCCTGAATAGGTTCAATTCCGCAGTTATCACACTGTGAAGCAGATTGAAGAGTACTGAAGAAAACCAACTGCATTCACTTCAGCCAGTAACAGTATATATCAATATGCCACATATAAAGGCACAGATGTAGGTCGATTACTGCTTGCATGCACAGCTGAATTCTTCTCCTCGCAGACCATGTGTTCATGGATAAAGAAGTCCTCATACTCAGAGACACGTCCTTCTCCCTGAGGACTGATCAACCTTTCTCTTTGCTTTGCTTCCCACTACCTGAATGCCCCACACATCGACACTGTTCTCCTGCTCAACAAAAGCACACCCAGTCCTGCCTGTAGTCACTGCTTATCCTCACATGGCTTAATGATGTTTCTGTAGCTTAAGTCCAACCATGTGAAATATCTTAACACAGATCCACTTTCCCTTCAGAGCAGGGAATATTAAGTGCAGCTAAATGGAAGAAGAAAAGAAAAACTACAAACGGAACAAGAAGAGGGAATGAAAAGTTCATGACTTTGGATAGGAGGTGCAGAAATGCAAAGAGATTCGATTTTTAAAAAGATAAAACTTAGAAAATAGGACTTTGAGGCAAGAACTTCTCAAAATCTAATCCAGGAAGAGTGCTGCAGGGACAGAACAGAAAAGGAATGAAAAATGTGGAAGCAATCTTGTGCTCACTTAGCTTATTCTCCTTCATTTAGGACATGAAGTGCTCTGAGAGAGCTTTGGGTACCATCTGCGAAACTCACTTGCAGAGCAATTTGCTCCTGAGCCCAATCAACTCAGGGTTACAAGCACCTTACTAAGCAACTGTCACAACTGTATTCCCTGCTTTCACAATGACAGCTTTCAGAGTGTGAGGGCTGGTAAGAAGGAAGTTGTAAGCATACTTAGGACTTTTCTCTGAAAACAGAGAATTCAATATAATGCTATATTATAATAAAAAATGAAAAATCCAGCTTCAGTTATCCCAAGTTCAGAGTCAAAAATAATGGAAACCCATAACCCTTCTGTGCTCCAGCTTCCTGCTCCTCTGTGAATCAGACATAATACCGTACCTTTCGTTTTATTAAAAAAAAATAGTATTTGCAAAGTATTTTGATACTAAAGCGATGAAAGCTGTAAAAAGCCCACATGTGATTCAATAATTCAATATTCAAAGAAAAGAAATTGAATAATGTGTTCTAATTGAGGCTGAAGGCCATGCAGAACTAAGTGTTCTGAAGAGATGCTTATTAGGTGACTATTGTCCAGACCATGTACTAAGCAAGGCAGCACTCCTGAGGGAAAACTGTATATAATCATGTAATTTCATAGATTATAATGCATATTAAAAGCAAATTGGAGTTGCAAAGAAACTTTCAAACTTTTAATGCTTGATAGTATATAATGCCAATTTACTTTTCAGTATTATTTCATATAAAACATTATGCAGAACAAAGTACTTATTTTGTTTTCTAGAAGGCTGCTCTACCTGATCAAAATCGTGATTTTTTTCTTTTTTTTTGAACAAAACCACTAACTTGAAGGAGAGAGGAAACAGGATGAAGCCTCGGCAACCTAAGACGATTAAGTCTATCGGTGTCAACTAATAACTAATTTCAATCTTTCAGTTATTTTGAACTGAACTTTAAACTGTATGTTTTTGCATTCTTATATGGATGGTTACCAGAAAATAAATGTAGCTGCCTAATACTTTTAACATGGCAAAGAAGCTGTTCCAACATAGCAAACCGTCGCAACAAAAACATCTTGCAAACCAGAAAACCTAATTTAGAGAATCTTATAGTTTCATATAGTTTATGACATGGCTGACACTGGGACAACACACCATTTCAACTCTGAGTTTATTTTCTCAATTTCATATAAACATTGTTTTACAGAACTGTTTCAACTTCCGCAAACATTATTTGAAAGGAATAAGAAGCTGCTACCTTCTCTCTCTGCAGTGAAAAACAAACAAAACAGTCACTCTCATACTGTCCTTTCATTGGTCTAAGGTGCAGGAAAAAGAACTCCAAAAAGCAGAGTTATTATCAGGGAATCACTGGAAAGACAGAGTGTAATGCCAACATAGAATTCTGTGGTGTTAGCTGTGGACTTTTATTTTCATACTACAAATGAAGAGAAGTTTGCATGCTTATTAATTTTCATACAGCATTCCACATACTCTGTGAAACCTGAGGTACTGGAAAGAGTGAATTACCTGGGTTGTTCTGAGTGAAGATGAGGAAAAGCAGACACTGAACAAGAATTACGAAACCACAGTTGGCATCCTAAACAAAGCCTTTTTAGGAAATTCCAACCGTGTTATCTTTGAAGATTTCTCCTGTTACTCAGCAGAGTGCAGAGCATCGGCTTACCTTGAATCCCACATGCTGCACAAATCCACTCTCTGCATGCATCTGCTGTAGTTTTTGTCTCTTCAATTTTTTAAACTCTAACAGTTCTTTGTATTCAGGTAACTCACGATAAGTTATTGGAATACTCTCTTCATCCTGTTCATGGTTAAAAAAAGAGAACTACTACTTACATTAGGAATATAACTAGTAATATATATTATTTCACAAATCACTAAGTGTAACTATCTTCTGAGAAAAAGTTGGCAAGATATTCTGAGACAAATTGGAAATTATGATTAAAAACACAACAAAAAAAATACAAACAACTAACTTAAATTTTATTCCGAGCTACTTATTATTTGCATTATACCAAAACTTTACCACGCTAACAAGTTTCTTTTGGTGAATAGCTTTGCTGTCAGGTGAAGACGACAGCAGTGCCTAACTTTAAGTTCTATATTTATATTGGTACGTCCTATATTTTTATTTTTGAAAGACCCATAACTCAAGACAGAATCAAGCTTTAGCTATATGTACTTCTCAATCAATAAAGCCAATTTTAACAGTATTAGATTCTCACCTTTAACTGTAAGAATAAAAAGTGGTGAGAAATATCATTCCATGATTTTAAGAGCAGAAGTTTCAAACTTATTTCATCTTGTGACCACTCCTAACTCCCTTAACTTCACGCTGCCTTTTAATAGCTTGAGAAAATGGATTTCTACTTTCCCTAAATTAGAAAAAAAGTTTGTATCCCTATAGACAGGTGCGTACAATGTTGAAAAAGACTTATAACACATTCTTTTTTTAAATAAAAAACACGATTTCTGATTTTTCTCCTTCAATTTTCTTCAGCAAAGATTGAAGACCTGTATGTTATGAGAAGACAACTTCTCACTCTAATTCACAGGACTACTTCAAGATAGCTATTTAATTGCAGCAGCTGTACTTGGTATATGTTAGATGTCTTCAAAGATGCAAAGTCTGTATGGACTATAATGGTAGGCATGTTCAGTTATGAAAAAGAATTACAAGTAATCATTCTCTGAATGTAGCCTTATCTCAATTCCCTTTTAAAAATCTGTGAAGCTTGAAATGTCTGCATTATTTAGTAAGTTTACTGAAGGAAAAGAGGGAAAATGGCATGCTGTTTAGTGTCAACTATTTTTCTAAGGGCCATATAAAATATTTAATTGTAATTCTGAAAATACTTAGAGGACCAGACTGCAAGTACCCTGAAAAAAAAAATAAATGAGGTTAAATGACACAATTTTATTGTGATAAGTTTCACCTTCTTCCTATTAAAAAAAAAACCACCATTTACACAAATAAGTTTTACTAAAAAAAAAGCCTGGAATGATATAATCATATATTGAATAAAATATGCTACAACAGCTCCTCATGTGGACACTTGATTCTGGATTAGTGCATTGTATTCTAGAATAATTAGACCATTCACACCATGAACTGATCATCACTGAAAGTTAAATTCTCTCTTTTGAGAACAGTGTCTTCACTTGAGAATAATTAATTCATACTACAGTGATATTTGAGGAATGGTTATGCCAATCAACTGGTAACGCTCAGACAAAATCTTCTGTTTTTACAAGGAAACATTACCTGGTACTTTTATTGTGAAGAACTCAGAAAAAAAATTTCCTATAATTTTCCAGCTACACCAAATATCTTCTTGACCACGTCAGTGCGCAGTGTAGTATTTCTCCCTGAGATACCAGCTGTCACTAAGAGACCTGATTTGTTGGACTTGATGATCCCTGAGGGCCCCCTCCAACTTGGATTAAAGCAGACTCCAGTATATTCACTTTGATTATAATTCACGATCTCTTTTTCCTTCTATGTTGCTTTTATTTTGCATTGATAATGGGGATCTTTCTGATAACTGAGCTCACCTGTGTCTTTCTACATTACTGCAAGCCAGAAATATATCCATCTGGAAATGCTGCACTAGTGAAGAAAGAAAAGATTAAGCCAAATTTGGGGGAAAATAAAAAGAAAATGGAAAAAAAAGAAACCAGGGGGAGGGGGCACACATCCACCATTATCACTGCAAGAAAGTAAAACAGCCATTTCTATCAAAACAATGCAAAAAAATCTTAGTTGCCCCCTATTTACTAGAGGTAGGACACCACAGGAAAAAAACAAAATGCTTTAGGAAAATATTAGGAACAGAGAGAATAACTACTTCAAAAAAAAAATACAGGACAAAGGACTGTTTGATCAAAAACTGTTCAATTGAGATTAATAATGGTAATAAAAATTAATAGTGATCTGCAGCTCTTCTAATCTGCATTTTTCTTCCCATGCCTTTTAAGATACATATTGGAATAAAAAAATTACTGGAAATGCCTACACACAAACAAAAAGACCATCACAGAGAGAAGACAGAATATGAGCGAAGATGCAATTTAAGACTGAGCAATAGATAAGGAAATTTAAGAGTTTAAGGAAGACTCTGCAGTGCACATAAGAAAAAAAGTCAGCAAAGTAAAAGAATGGACTTATCCTGGGTGGCCTTAATGCTGTTATTATGCAACAGGTTTTTCACACACAAGATGGCTCTAGGCTCACCAAAAAAACACTACAAGTCTTGTTCTTTGGTCTAAGTGCAGTAAACCTGCAGTGATTCACATCAGCTGTGAACCTCATCAACCATCTTAGTAGTGGATACACTACCCCGTATGCATGCATGTAAAACTACAAGAATGTAGACGTGCATTACTGCATATGATAAATTAGGAAACTGGAACACTGCATGATGCAATGACGCGCTGGGATAGGATATCTACCGGAGCTTGCCGCTTGAGACTCAAGTCTGTTAGTTCATGCCTTGAAGCAGATGGAAAAAAATCCATAATTCTGCCAGTGAAAGAAGGCAAAAAGCAACCACCAACAGAAATTTTACCAGGACTGTATGCAACGCAGCACAGCATTAACTGGAATCGCATCTATACACTTTGTGTGATTTTAAGACTGATCTTCTGTCAGATGACTTTTTGAAACTATATAACTAAAATAATTTAGAAGCTGTTTCACCACAGAACTCCTTATTACTTCCTTTTCTTCCTTTCTGATTTGGTCTAAATTTCCTGCAATTGTGGACCTTTATTGTAATGTGCTTGCAATTCAAAATAGCTCATGAATCTGACTATAATACTTCTGTGATATTCATTTTATGACAGATGCTTAATCCTCACATTATTCATTTGAAAAGTTTAGATGACAGTAAAGAATATATTCTCTGACTGATTTAAATGACATACCGATACTTCCTCTTCTGCTGCAATATCCATATGGCTGTGAAAACTGGATCTGTCATCATCCTCATCCATATAAACTGGAGGCTCGTGCGATGTCATAAAAGTTGAAGGTTTGAAAAGATGTTTATTTAAAGGGTGCTGCCGTCTACTCGATGACTACAGTGGAAAAATGGTACATTTTAAGACATCACCTGGTTACCATTTAAACAATCCTTATACAATACAACCTTGTCAAGAAGTCCTTCCTGCACTGAACAACACTGCATCATCTTTCCCATTGTGATTACTTATATCTCTGTATCACAGCTTTGTATAGTCTCATATTATGGAGTTTTTTTCCCCAATAGGAAGTGAAACACTGCTCTAGTAAAAACCTATCAAGAAATTGCTCGCATCATAAAAACCCAACCATCTAAACAAATGAGATAACAGAAAAACAGAAAATAAAACTGCCACGATTTTAAAGACTGAGAACTGAAGTGCCAAGATAATAATGACTTCCAAATCTCAATGGACACTGCTAGTGTGGGACTAAACAATTAAATGCTTTGCACACAACCCCATGCTTGACACATCATCAAATTCTTAGATATTCCAAGAACCCAGTTAACACAAGTCTAGACTAATTTTGTTCAGATTTCTTTTTTGAGAGAAAAAGCTAAAAGCAGTTCGTTCCACCACAAAAGACACTTCTACAAGTTAGGAATAAATGCTCTCCAAAGGTTCTTTTTCATTGCCACTGTCTGGAAAAGGAACCCAAGAAATGTCAGAAGAGATAAATTACTCCATTAGCGTGCATCTGAAACCTTTCAACTGTAATGCTGTCTGAAGGTGTAGAATGCACAGCAATTTGAAAGTAGATTACTTAAAGGCACTTAGCCTTTATTACATATTCCCCATGGAGGAATATTTAATACCAAACAGAAGAATATTTAATGAATGAAACTGACTCAACTTTTTACTTAGCTCCTTTCCAGACTACCTTTTAAGCATCTTGATATATTCCATAGCTTAAAAAAAAAAAAGCGTGAATCAAAAACTCTAAGCATGAAAAGCATTTCTTTGTGTGTTTTGTAATTACAGGAGAGAGGACCGTCTTGCTCTTTGTCTAGGTTCTGTCATATAGATAAAGCATAATAAATATTTAACATAGTTATTACTTCATCTTTTATCAAGAACTTGTATCCCAGAGGTTCCTAAAACCAGTTACAAAGCCATTTATTTGAAGAAGGTTTCAACATGTAACATTATTTTAAAATTGTGTATAGTTTAAAAAGGCAAAGCAATTATATTGGATGAAATGTAGCTATGCAGACAAAAATACCAAAGGAACTGAGTCTAGCCCAATTAACTTGTAAGGAAAGATACGAAGCAATAATGGTTGGAAACTGGTACCTCATTTATGCAGGAGAATTACAGTGCACAGAATAAAAGTGAACACTTTGTTTTAAGACTGATGTTGAACCACTTGTGCTGATTTTTTCCACCTGCCTTAAGATCACTGGCTTCCTATGCTTTGCTTCCTTTCTACTTTCCTTTAAGATACGTGCTAGAACAATTCCACCTGTAAAGTTAGGCTGTATCTCAGTCTGAGCTGACACAGTGATTTAAATATTCTGTTAATATAAGGAAAACAGATCTGTATACATAGAATCACAGAATCATTAAGGATGGAAAAGACCTCTAAAATAATCATGTCAAACCATCATCTACCACCAATACTGTCCATTAAACTGTGTCCCTCAGGGCCACATTCCCACGGATCTGGAACACCTCCAGGTTTGGTGACCCCACCACTTCCCTGGGCAGCTGTGCCAGTGCATCTCTGCTTTTACAGGGAAAATATTTTTTGTAATGCACAACCAATATTAGATCTGAAATGTAAGAAAGAAAAATGTATGTCCACACTTACACACTTGCATTATCTCACACATGGTTACGGCCTGCAATTTAACCAAGGATTTGAATTCTTTTTTTTTTTTTTTTTAACATCATTCTGCTTTTTAACACGATTCTACAATACTACCTACAAGCAGACAGTTAGAAAGAAGTCATTTTTCCTTTGGGAAGTGTATCTTCAGGATTAAGCTTAAAAGAAGGTGAAATAATGACGGAGTATTACAAGCATTACATTAAAAAAATAAGTCGTAACTGAATAAAGGAGTGCTAAATCACTGGTTATGCATTATTTTCACTAGTGGCTGGCAACAGTTAAACAGAAAACTGGAGTATCCTGCATAACTTCATGTACCATGTATGTGAAGAGACATTACGTCATGAGTTCAACAAGATGTTCAAGAATGAAATAGGACTCTCACCTCCCCAGTAACCATTTCAAAAAAGCAGACTAGGTGATCCCTATGGAGAAACCTCCTCGCGTGAAGAGCCTCTTCCGACACCAGTATTTACATTAAACATAACAAAGCCTTTTAGTCCCTCAGAAATGCGTACTTTAAGAATCAGCATCCAATACTTACACATCTATTACAGGCAGTAAAGCAGATACTGCCATTTATGGCATATGTATATACTCAGAATCAAAATAAACATGAGCACAGCACAAGCACAGTCCAGGCTTTCAATACCCCCTTGCACTTCCTTTCTGCCATGATATCTTATTCTCTACTGGGAATAACTACAGTCTGATACAATCTGTATTGTAAGTAGACAGCTTATGTTAGTAGACTGAGAAATCAAATCCCCCACATACATTGTTTGTTACATTTTTTCATCTGTTGTGTAATTATATTTTCTTTTTAACATGAGTTTCAAATAGAAAATGGAGAAGCTACCTTGCTACAAATCAAGGCACAGTGACCTCATTCTTACAATTCAGTCATAAGAATAAAGGTATTACTCACATTGCAAAAAAGGACATAAGTGCTAGAGTTGTTCTACATATAAGCTTAAGAAAAAAATCTAAGTTGGCAGCATTGCTACTGTAGTTTGCAAATGTTAAGAATTTTATAAAATATGGTTTCTGTATTTACTGTGCTGTGTATGTAAGCAGAACAGCATAAAGAACTTCACGGATTGCTGTTCAAATTAGTGAAAAATACAGTTAAGAGTCACATGTGTACTGATTAAGTGCTCCTATTATTCAGCAAACACAGTGATCTGCTGCCCTGCAGCATTTCTCATGTTCAGTAATAAGTCTTCCCAAAAAAAATTAAGAGGAAAGAAAACAAGGGGTGGGACTAAGGTTATTTAAAATAGCAAGGTGATAAATAGAAAATAAAAGACTGTTTTCAGAAGGAAATTTTCACCCTCTTGAAATCAGCCCCCAGTACAGTAAACCGTACAAGCAATGCACAAGTAATACATGAATCTCACTACAGTATTTAAGGTATCAGCGTTTGCAGCTGGATTTCCTTTTTTTTTTTTTTGTTCCCCTATCAGAATGCAATTTTCCAAGAGATGAAGCAGCAGAATCATGCCTCTGTTTATAGAGTAGAATGGTAGGTTAAAATCCTGGTGAAAGTAAAATGGCATTACATTGTTAGATGGCGCACTGGAAAATTTCTGATAAAAGCACTCCTTCTTTGCAACAACTTCAGAGAAAACTAGGAGATAAATGTTGCACACACCCATTTTAAAGCACTATAGATACACAGTGGCAGTTCTTTCTATCAGGCTTGTCTGACAGCAACATCAGGTCCCAAACTTTCAAGGAATTAAGTCTGTAAATGTTTGCTTTTCAGAAGCAATGTGGAGCTTACTCTATTCATTATCAGGAAACATCAATGCAAAAAAAAAAAAAAAAAAAGTAATGTTACTCCACAAACTGCCATTGTGACAGGTTTTAAACAACCTCTTTAAATATAATGGTAACAGCGACAAAAACAAGTATATACACTGAGACCGCTCTCTTCAAACATCTAGAGTTCTCTTTAGTACCCAAGAGAAGAACTACAAGACTTACATCAAAAGATATAACTGGTCAGCACAAAAAATCTAGGGTCTTTTCTTTTGCAAATTAAGAAGATTTCTCAGGATTGTATTTTCTCACCCTTTCCAAAACCAGGAAAAACACTACATTTTCATGATAATTTCTATTAACTTCCTATTTTAATGGACACACACCACAAATCACAATAAAACACAGCAATTCAGAATTAAGTCTATGCCTGTGTTAGTTTAGTATGGTGTTATATTTAATTTTCTATGGTTTTGTTAATTAAAAGATGACTATAGAATATGATGTATTTGGCTCCTCATCTTCTGCCAGTATAGTTCTCATTGTCCCTTTCTAGATTAATTTCAGTAAACTTACAAATGAGGAAAAAATACACCCAAGATCAATCCTTCGGCCCCGTTAGCTCTGTCTGCAATCTAAATGCAGTGTTTCTCTTTTCTGATACTTCATCTCCCCAAGGTAATTCAATTAACAGGGGTTGATGTGAAATTAGAATAACACCCAATTCACTCTATATTTGCTAATGTTAAAATAACAGATCAAGAAGTACATTGGTGGAGCTTGCGAGTAAGAAAGTTGTAATCAAGACTAATCAAATCCATTGAAATAATTAAGTTTCAGTTTGCACGCAAATGTAACAATAAAAATGGAATTTCTGCTGTCTCACCTTTTTTGAGTATAAATATAAATTTGGAGTTCTTCCTGGAACTGGAATACCAGCTTTAGTCAGTTTAATAAAATATTTTTGCACTCTACTGGCGACCTAAAAAAATACCAACATGCAACAATTGAATGTCAAATGAAATATGACAGGCTTTCACATCAAATTTTTGCCAGTATCCATTACACTGGCTCACAATATAAAGACTCCAAACTATCATTTCCAACACTGCAACAACTACTCTGTTATATATCCTGTAATGCTACATTTGTCATATTTCCAGATGCTTTGAAGCTTTCATAGCAAAAAAATCATCTTGTTCAAAAATACACATGGAAACCAAACAAAAGCAGTGATAAAGAATTTAAGCAACTTCTTACCTGCTGAAATTAAACTTTTTCTGTGTTAACAGTAAACAGTAACACATAAATTATATACTGGTACCATATAGAAAGTTCTTCCACGTTTTATTTATGAAATGAGCTTCATACATTTTAATTTGCCACTATGGAAAAACATTTGCATAAATACAGATATCACTAGAAACTATGGAAAAACATTTGCATAAATACAGATATCACTAGAAATGAAGTAATGTTTTATACTGAAATACTTAATATTCCTTAATGTGAAAGCACACTAGCTAAACAGAAGAAATTAAAATACTACAAAAACAAGACATCAGCATTTTTTCTCGTGGCCAAACTGGAGAAATTATGCTGTTTTACTGAAAAAGCTCCTAAAAGTCAGTCACAGAAACACTCAGTGTCTCTACTTTTGGCTTCCTTTGTGGATGTGGACACCAATATAGAACCAAATCTGTGATATACAAGTATTAAAATGTGTGCCAATTATCAAGATGAGAAATAAATTATTCAAGAGATGAGAATAAATCCAGATACAAATTTTTATCACGCTTTCTAAAAAGCAATTAAAAATATTATCAATGAGAGGGACTCCTCCGCAAAGCGTTCTACTTGTTACCTGCTTAGCTGTTCTATTTCCCAGTTCATCAGCTATCTTCTGCCACCTTCGGGACTCTACTTCCTCTGGTGGATACTTCAGAAGCAACTGCTCGAGTTTTTTCTAAATCAAACAAAAATCAAGAGTTAAAAAAAAACACAACCTATTTTAATATAGGCATGAGTTGTCAAAGTACAAGTATCTATATATATGCGACTTTAGCTTCTAATTACTAATTAAATATTATTACATAATTTGTTTTTATTATTATCATGTATGTTATCACTGCTACAAAATAAATAGAAAGGTTTCCTGTTACCTGTTCCTCTACAGTCCACAGTTGGTTAAAAGTTTCAGGTTTGGTCTCATCGCAGAGTCGCCCTCTTATCATCTGTTCAAACAGAGGACATAAAATGGAAATGGAGTTTAGAAAACATACGGCTAGGATACTCTGATCCTCTTCCTACCAAAGTAAAACGAAATACAGACCAATTAAATGCAGGGAAATTTGAAGTAAGTTTTGCCTAAATAATTAAAAAAAAAGTAAACAGATTTCAATACATGCATGAACTTCATGACCAACTTTAGCATTTGATGTGGAAGTTTAAAATATTCACACAGTAGTTTAAAAAGTTACTATTTTATAAAAATTTCCTTTTGTGAGAACTACCTGTGGACGACTGCTTGTAGAACCTTCTGGACCATCACTTAAAGGCAAGACAGAATATGAAATTGACTCTCCATCTTTCTTGGGATCCAAAGGACTTTTTGGTCTTGCAGGTATACCTACTGGAGGGAACAAAGGAAAGGGTTAATTAAATCTCCATACTCATCTCTTGCTTTTTGTAACATACATTTTTTCTCCTTTTACCTTTGTCAAAAATCAACTTTGCTCTTCTACTGTTACGTTTTCGGTTTTTGAATTCTCTCTCAAAGTTTCCAAGGCTAGTGGTGTATTGGTCCCAGGCAATCTCAGGGAGTTGAACAACTCTCTGAGGATATGGAAGACCCATATCAACCTGAAAAAAGAAAGTAAACATTGAAAAGCAATATTTAAATTAGTTGAATATCCAAACAAATAGCTACAAATCCTAAAAAGTCACGAAAACCTGATGCTGCCTTTTAGCTAACAGCAAAATTGAAAATCAATATTTTTGAAGTGCCATGCAGCACATAGTTTGTTTGTTTTTAAGGAGAAGGTATCTTTCAAGAGTAATACACAACAGTGCATATAAAATATGCAGCGGCACGGACAATGATGGCTTATTAAGGTAAGACTTGAAAATGTGTGTTTCACAGTTGAAATAAGGAGTTCCTGACTTCAATTTCTCATTGCTGTCTGACTTTTGTTCAGACATACTTTTTGCCTAGGATCTGTACCTTTCTCAAGATTAAGAAAACACAGGAAACCACAGGACTTCAAGTTTTATCGTCTGATAAACCTAAACACATCCCATCAAGGAATTCAATGTATGTTTTACACTGATTTTGCTGTCTTCTACATAGAACACAACCGTTGCAAGGGTCACCAATTTGACGGCCAAGCTTAAGAGTATCTATTTCCTTGGGTTCAGGCACTCATATGCACCAGATGCTTTCAGCTAGCATTACTACTTCCTACATGATACAACCATTATCATATGTAACCTATTAAGTCTTGCATGCTATAAGTTCATCTCAAAATGTAATGGATAATAACCACTGAAACCAATGGGCTTAGAGAAGACCTCTCTAAATCTACGTCTCTACAAGCATAGGGTAAGGGCATCATAAGATACCTATTTCATTTTCCTCTGAAATACAGAATATTGCTGCCAGACAAGAAGGGGAGGCATTTGTCACTGGCAGATGTAGGAGTGAAAAAAATACTCAACCTTTAAACCTTTTAACATCTGTTTGTTCTTTTTTTCTTTTCACTTGAAAAAAAGATCCTTACTTATCAAAATTCATTCTCCTCTCTCAGACAATGTTTCAGTTATGTTATCCAGCACTCTTCTAGACATACTTTCCAGAGTTCATTTGTGTTTTATGAACTGTATTTCCCTCTCTTTAAAAACTACCCTACCAAATTCACTCATAGTACAAGACTTAATTCCTCTAATAAGAAAAGTCCCAAATTCTTCATCTGAAGTTTATGACTTGTAGATTTCAGGTAGTCCTAAAATATTCCTCTTACAATTAGAAATTTTAAAATTACATTTCTACATAAGAAAAAAAGGAAATATATCTAATTAAATATTTGAGCGCTTTCTCTTACAGATTTGATAAGCAAACAACGGGCCATTTTTTGCTCAGCAGACAAAAGGCTTTAGAGTCCTAATGCAAGTTTATAAAGAATTCCAATTTCTACAGATGATGAATCACTAGTTATTAAAAAAAAAAAAAAAATCTGAGTAAGACTTAAGAAATGCCCATTGAAATACCTTCTTCTGGAGTCTTTCCACAAATCCAATAGGATCTTTCAGTGCTTCTCTCTGGTGTCTGCCTAAACTTTCAAGGTCTTGAACTGCTTGAGTACGTTGAGCCTCGAGTACAGCAATCGTCTGTAACAGTCTCTGATAACTACAGAGACAAAGGAAAACATCTCACTAAATTTGTCTTTAAGAGTGAACCTCCAAATCTAAATACTAGCCATGATTATCTCCTAGTATCTAACAGAATTCATAGCTTATCCGAAACAGGTGATAGGCATTTTTACTGAATTATATAAATAACTGTCTCAAAATTATTTTAAGTAGATGAATTTATATAAACCAGTAAAAAAACAGTGTTACTATTACTACTAATACATTGAGTTTTTTTTAAACCTAAATTCTGTACTAGCTAAAACAATGCTACCAAGGACACGCTTCTCATATTCTCAACAGTTATGCTCTATATTCTTCACTTAGAAGAAAAAAAAACCAACAGAATGATACAATTTCACTCACTCCAAAATAAACCACAAATGATTCTACTGCAAAAATTCAACATTGCACTCAACCACCTACAGAACGTATAAGAATGACTCTTAAAAACTCCGCAGCTAAACATTTCAGAGAAGCTTCACTTCAGAGAACAGAATAACCATTTGCAAACGTGACAATAAACCACTGAAAGAAATTTACAAAATAAATACATACAGGAGAGATTTCTCTAATAATACAGAGGTTAATTGAAACGTCAGTGTTCCCTCAAATACACCATGCTTGATCCCCATGCAAATCTGATTTTCTATTTAACAAGTATGCTAAAGATCACTTTAAGACTCACATCTGCACTCAGTAATGGAGGCTGCCCAGACTGTCTTCTGTAAAGCTAACTCAGGGCAGGAAATCACACAGTCTTACAATAAATGAGTAATTCCTTTTATTAGCTTTATAGGTATGGTTGTCCACTTCAGATCACAAACCTGTGACACCTGTGGCCCCTGTTGTTATAAAACACTACATATCAATGCTTTCAGGAAAATGCTTTCTGACATTTAGTATTACAACTACGTTTTAGTTTAATGCAAAATGCAACCTAGTGCGTATTAAAATCAAGTAAGATCTATTTACTACTTAACTATTTCAGTAATATCTTCTTTCTGTTCCCTTATTGCTAAAGTAAAAAGAATCTTAACGCAATCATTTCCACACATACTATAAAGAGGATCCAGAGGTTTCAGAGTAATGCAAGATTTTCAATCCACTACATTGGTAGTTGGGTAAGCGTGGGGAAGTAAACAGCTTCGAGGCAAAATACAGGCTTCATATCATCAAGTGTATGTGTTTCTGCCCAGACACTGCATCACCTCAGAGAAGGTAATTTTCTTTCCACTTCTGTGTAATAGCTGAAAACACAAACTATAGCCACGAGTTTTTCAGCTTGAAACTAAAGTGCTGAGTTCATTTAAAAACAGCGTGATACAAATCTCTTATGTATTTCTTATTTAAACTAGTCCTCACATATTCAGGTTACATTTAATTGACACCTGAAATGCTCATTAAATAAGTAGTGAGGTTATTCTTGAACATACAAAATGATTTCAGAAATAAGTTTTGTGATGGTATACATCAAGATCGGCCTGAGACAACACTGCAGCTCAAGTTGTTATGGGGGCACACAAGTAATCACAAAACCTTCTCTTAAGTTTTTACCAGTAACTTCTGATTACTGCTTATCTTTGTGCTGGGCAACCTCCGCCCATCTCAGGTGCCCTGACAGTACTTGTCTGCCCTGTACACTCTAGAGAAGTGAAAGAAAAGCAGGCTAATAAAAATATTCAGGGAGATGAAGGACAACAAAAAGCCTTTTCTCCATCTTCAAGTAATGCAACTGCTGCTCAACCTTTGGAGTTAACTCCAGTCGTAGCAATGGAGTCTCAAACATTTGCAGTTGATGTAACTTCAGTTACAACTTGTTACAGTGGCTCAAGAAAGGCAGATATTTAATTTCCTTATTTATTCAAATTGTATTTGATTGCTTTCAAAATTGAATGGAAAAAAATAATCATTATATTCAACACAGTTGCATACAAAGAAGGCAAAAGGCAATCAAATACATTTTACAAATGCTGGTTTCAATGAGGATTCACATGGCACGGAAATTATCTTAACGAGGTGGCCTTCATTAATTAAGTCTGAATGGAAGAAGAAATTGCACTTAGGAGAAGTAACAAACAAAACAAGAATACTGAAAACTAACTACTTCTTAAAGCATTCAGGTGACTTCAGTTATCACTGATGAGAAGTTCAGTGGCTCACAAATGATCCCACTGGTCTTCAAGGAAATACATAAAATGCTACAGCAATGTCAGAATCAATCACAAGCATTTCACATGATGCTGATCTGCCATAACATAGCACTTTTTCATAAAGTACTTCAGGAGAGAGGGGGTTTTGAGCAAACATAGTTCACAGTACTTTTTAATACTTCTGCTAAAGAAATGTGTTTACTTCAAGCTACTCCAACTTCTGTATTTGGTTTTTAATGAGTGGTTATTTTCTGAAGCATTGGAATAGGAGTGCAGGTTTATTATGTGAGTATCAGACTTGTTTAAGTGAGGGAAAACGTGCATCTTGGGGTCTTATTTTCCAAAGAAAACACTGAAAATAATTAACATTTTCCACACTGAGGTATGTCATATTTGCTAAGTACTGAAACATTCTTTTAAATTCTAACACAAGTTTTTAACCAACTGTATAACAGCTCACGAGTCCTTTACATTTCAAATCACTACTGTTTTCATATGTTTGTACAGGCTTTTAGTTCTGTGATCCCACACAACTGCAAAAGAGCCAAGCATTTCTCTGCAAAAATACTAAGTGAAATAACACACAGTCAGCATTTTCTTGAAGTCTGTCTGTTCTGGCATAATACTTCTACCAGGTTACCAAAAAAAGTGCATGCATGCACATAATTTCCATGACAGTTCCAAACAACAAGAAAGTAGCAAACAATTTTACCATACAGCCTGCAGGGTTTTCTTTTTTGTAAACAAACACAACAACTCAAACTAATTCCTGAAGTTGTGAGCCACCATCCTCCAAAATCTAAAAAGCCCAGAGAATGTAAAGGTATGGGGCACAGAATGGAGAAAGTTACTGCAACCTGTCTCCCCACTGCTGCAGAACATTGGCACACACCAGAGAGGTAAACCACACAGCCACCATCTCAGCACTGCCCAGCTGCAACCACGTAATTTTGTGGTCCATGTAATCATGGAAAATGATCCCACATTCTCTGCTAAAACAAAACAAAGTCATATGATTACACATCCGTTACCTAAGGAAAAGTGCAGCCAGTCTAACACCTACCCTGACGGAAGTTACACTTTTCTCAGTTGAAATTACTACATTTTTAGGACGTAAGCCTGAAGCACAGTTTACTTTGCAGGAAAATTTTCATCCTACACAATGTATTTCCACAACTCACACATGAAATGGCTTAGCAGCAGCCTATACCAGAGGCCATGTCATTCTGCATATTTAAATAAACTCATGTCAGAGTTGCACTAACAGTCAGATGCTAGTTTCTGGCCTTTGAACATTTCTTGAGAGGAAAATATACTCTAAGTCTTAAGTGAATGAGTTCCCTGAGAAACAGACAGCATGAAATGAAGATTTTAACTAATCTGATTCACATCTGCAAACTGGATGAAATTAACGAGTGAAGCTTTTCAGTTAAATCATATTAAAGTAACGTGAAGCATCAGTTTTGTCCTGTTAGACAACGTAAGGGGCAGATGTAAAAGAGTGGCAAAGCTTTCTCTGCAAACAAACTCCCTACAAAGTCTGAATCCACAAACACTTAGGAACACTTGAGAAAACTGTGAGCCACGTATGGATATTGTCTCATCCATAAAAAGGAAGTTCTATTTCAAGTATCTTTATCCAAAGTAAATGTACACATTAACTCAGTATGCTACAGTGCACTATCGGCTGATTTGTCATCATGAAATACTGAAACATAATTTTAAGGCATTTTCTCATCTTTAAGGTGGAGACAGATATATTACATCCATTCTCCCCTAATGAAAATAAATGGAACTTATAGAATGAAATCCCCAATTCCAAGTTCTAGTCTCTATTTCCTAACATGAACTTCTTCATCTTTTTCAACATTTGATGACTATATAACACTCTCAGTGATACAATAAATACTCTCACATTTGCTTATCTTTATAAGCAGATGTAACTTTGATCACTCCAGTTTCACAGCATTCAGACAGACTATCTTACAGACATAGAGGTGAGCACTCATCGCTTACCACTTGTTTTCAGTACAATCAGTTGTGGATTTCAGACACTTCAGATGCTATCTCAAAGTTACCTCCTTACTGTTTAAATATATTTATCACTATTATCACTATTATCACTGTTAGACTATTACTGAAAACATATGCAGTATTTGAAACTTGTATTTTCAAGAACAGTTACCTATCATTCATTGGGAGGCTCTGAGTAAGTCTTTGTTTTAGTGCCATCTACTGGCACTGTAGCAAAATGGATATTAAAATGTTCTACTCAGTCAATTCAGATTTTGGAAAAGTATCAGCAGCTCAGAAAAAAATCCTTATCAGGCGCTAAACTAAGAAAGGATTGGCATATTAATCTGGTTGCACTGGAGGACTGAAAACTAATGCAGAAAAAGTGTACTCCAGTATTAGTCTAAAGTTCTTGAAAATATATTTAGAATTTCCATTTTAACTCAAGGCAGCTTCCTGGAGAAATTTTCTAGTCAAATAGAATCTTCTCTTTAAAAAATAAAAAAATGGTGGGTTTTTGTTGCTGTTTAAAGTTTAGATCAGAATCATCAGACAACTCAGCCAGCTTTTAAGCTTCATCTAAAATCTTTGCCAGTATCACAATATAGAAATTTAAACAATGTACCTTTTCCTCACAAATTACTCTAATGTCCAGCAGAGATTTTTGAAAATCCATTACTACAGTGGGGAAGAGTGCTGAGATTCCCAAGTGAGTGCAAGACTTGTAGAACACACCTGACAGCAACATGGAAGCAAAAGAGACCGATGAAAAGTGGCCCTTTTCTGACAGCCCTTCAGAAACAGAAAAGCACATAATCAATATGGGCATACA